TTTTACTACGGATGGTGGCGCGTGTCAGGAAAATGGGTTTGGTGCGGCGTCAGTCCGTTCTCCACCATTGGAGCGAACAAGAACAACATTCAGTGGCAAACGGGCTGGCTCCGAGCAACCCGGCCTCCTTCCCCTATGACACCCCCTCCCACTAAGATCCGCACAGCGTACAAGACTTCAAATTTGTTGCAAAGGTGTCCCCGAAAGTAATCTAAGTGATGAAATGGAGCTAAACCCTATAGAAAAGCTTCTTCGCCGAAATGCTAACTTTATCACTTCACCCATGTCTAAAATGAAAAAGTCAGCCCCACCGCGTGTTTTGGCGAGAGCTTTACATCTCGTAAGAGTACTCTTCTTAGCCTGAAAGGGATTCCCCAAAATTCTTCTGTGTTCTGTACTTGCCAGGGCAGGTATCCTAATGCGACCAACTGAGTAGGATTTTTCCTCCCTCACCAACAAGTACACCAGCTTCAACAGTTTCAAAATTAGCTTTTCATATCAGTTTGCCATGTAAATAGCTGTCTTCTGTTACGGGACGAGACACTACTCTGACTTTGGATCCCTTCCCAGGACCGTAAACCCGAGCGCCAGGTTGAGTTGCAGACGTGGTTGCATGAAGGAAGAGGTGGGAATTGAATGGGAAGAGAAAATGAAAGACAACTGATAATATCGGAGACATCAGATTACATGGAAAATTTACGAACGTTTTTCACGCGATGAAACTTCTGTCGTTTAAGGATATCTTGTGCAATCACTGCCAATCATTGTTTCCAAGATCGTCTCGAGCGTATCTCTATATTTCCTGTAAAAAAAACCTGTTGTAAATTTCTATTATGTTCTTCGACGTCTTTCTTCAGAGAATAGCCTCAATCTCCTTCCCCTCAAATACACGCAGCACTATGTGATTCTTGTAAATAATGGGTGAAAAATTACTATTCTTTGAAACAGTGCGCCGCTGTTAACACATGTCGTTTCGTGATCAGTGTGCCGCTGCAGTAGCCTTCTCGTTCTGAAATATTCATCCGTGAGTGAGACTGGTTATCAGTTTTGAGGGCAGCATCTATAAAATGAGTTGAGCTGTTCGGTTGGGAGGCATATAGCCTTTTTGCCAGTCTTTTTGCTCGTTCCTGTTGGGTTACACGTCCTGCCTGGGTCCGACTTGTAGACTCAAGTGTAAACGCAGCCGATGCTCTTGCGCTGACAGGGGAACATATGGGATTCACACAGGCGGCATCGAAAGCGATCTCTGGGCAGAATGCTTTCACAAGACGAGCTAGGCCAAATTACTCTTCATTTTCATGAGTTTCCTGAGACAAATGATTTTGCGGGAATCTAATGAAAAGGCAAACGGAGTATTGTGAAAAAAAGTCACATGACTCCAAAAACTCCGTAAAAGTCACGTGGAGCGCTTTTAGAAGAGTATTCAAAATACACGAACAACTTACCTTTCCTCTTGAGCAGAGCAGCCCATGGTATCTCATTTTCCTCTGCAATTTCTCCACCATCTACGCGCAAACGTGGACCAAAAGGACCTGCAATAAAATGTTACTCAATCGAATATCGCGGTAACTGAAATCTTCTCACGTTCTCCACAGCCCTCTTCGTTATAGATTCCGTCGTCGTCCTGTAAAAAAGTAGTGTACCTTCATTCCGTTTACAGGGCTTGATGAATCGTAAAGCTTCTCAAAAGGACATCGTGAAGGTTTTCGGTACCAAAATTTTTGATTTCTCTTATTCTGTGACTAATTATGTTCCCTCTTTTTTCTTGCTATACACTCTTTACATAACTCTAGGAATCAGCCTCTCAGTGTGAAAAGATGAGTGGAATTGCCGTTCAATTTTTGTGTGCTGACCGTATGAAAAATCCGAAAAGACTGATTCTCTGGAGTTCTTACTCACCCACCAAATAACCGATCTACAGTAGGTTTCTCCTACAGGAGTTCCCTTTTCGATCATCTGATGTAAGCCTATTTCCTGAAGACTATATACAGTTTTTAGGGGAGCTGAACGGCGTTCGTCACCGCTAGCAGTCCAAACATTTATTCTAGTGAAAAGAAAATGTCATCGTTTTATTTAAAGTCTGTAGTCCTTCACTCCGTATAACCCCTTTTTTTACAGTGTCAGCTTCGAAATTGAGGCTGGAGACTTCAGATTCCTTTTCCTTTTCAACTTTTCCATCCAGCCGACGGATTGAAGGACATGGTAATAAATATTTCTACATCCTGACCACCAATACGATTTACCAATACGTTACAGTATCATGAATTTTTACAAAGTAATAATTTTGCTCACTTCAAAGAAATTATGTGTCGCACAAATGCTGAAGGAAACCAGCAGAACAAACAGACCGATGCGCATATCTGTCGTGGAAGATTGTTGTAGAGATCTGATCAGGTAAGTGTTCTGGATTAACGCCTTTAATCGCTTCAGAAAGTTTAAGTGTTCTAACATCAACTGGTGGAAATTCAAAGGCAGGAGTTCCTGAGCTGAGGAGTGCGCGGAGCCCATCAATGACAGTTATGGGTGAAACCGTACAGGGTGGAGAACTTACGCGGCCTGCTAAGTTATTTGACCTGTGATGGCCATCAATCACGCAGTAAAGGCTCGAATGAATGCGGCTTGGATGAAGGAAGTCCACCAGTATCCTCTGCTAGGCGATGCTCCAAGACCTTGAAAGGCACTGTGTACTGGGGCGTTGTAAGGCCTAAAGTGCTCTACGGCAGCAAATGCTTGCCCTTAGGCAAGAACCATGGAAAAACAGCTCCACTGTGTTGAAATCAGGCTGCTTAGATGGGCCTGAAGCAGGACTCGTCTAGAAGCAGACGGAAACGATGGCATGCGGCAACAAGACAGTTCCAGTCCAG